CATGTAATGCTGCTTGAATGCAAGAAGGAAAACAATGCCTCTGTAGCCACAAAGAATATCAAAGAAGTTTATGAAATGTTTTGAACGTTCGTAAGTGTCAATGATGGTTTAGCAAATTTCATTCAGGTGATTTTAGCCTTAAAAACTGTGATGGCAGGGGCCGACATAATGGAATTGATATTGATTCTCTGAAGATGCTTGTTGAGTCTAACTTAAGGCAACACACTCATGAAATGGCCCTGAAATTGCATGTCTCTAATGAAACAATACGTAAACATCTAAAGAATAAGTGTAAACTCCATAAAGAAGGTGTTTGGGTGCCTCACAAACTCTCCACTGATCATCTTTCCAACGTTGGAGCATTGCTTCGTCTCTTCTGGTGTGCAATGTGCATGAACCATTTGTAGACAGAATTGTCTTAAGTGATGAAAAATGGATTCTCTATGTGAATATTCAATGCCAAAAACAATGGCTCAGTCCTAGACAAAAACCACTTCCAACCCCAAAACCTGGACTCCATCCACATTTGGTGGGACATCAAAGGAATAATTCATTTCAAACTCCTCAATCCATAGCGAACAGTTCGCAACTGGTGTGTTTAAATCAAGCCATTAGTCAGAAACACCCTTCACTTGTCAATGGGAAAGGTTTTCTTCTCCTCCGCGACAATGCACGACCACATGTGGCACGTTTGATGCAACACAAGATTATGGAGTTGGGTTGGGAAGTTCTCCCCCACCCACCATATTTTTCAGATGTGGCACCATCAGCTTACCATCTTTTTCGTTCGCTGCAACACCATCTTAATGGGAAAACATACGCAAATGTTGAAGGTGTTAAAGAGGACATTGACATGTTTTTTGCATCAAAGCCAAGTGATTTCTTTGTTCAGGGCATTAAATGTTTTGTTTTGATATAAAAGTTATTCGTTTTTTTTTCATCTAAAAAAGTGACATTAATTTCTTGACGACCTAATATTATGTAATCAGAAATTCTTTGTATCTTGATCTACTTTTTATTTTACAAGTGACCAAATATTAGAGCTGTGCAACTTAATTAATTACCTATGAGCAGTTATTACATCAATTAGTGCAATGTAAACTAGTCATTTAATCAAAATTATGATTAAATTGACTGTGATAAAAATGATCAACAAACTGAAATTAGTGTTTCCAACTATTAGAACAATCAATTTATCGAAATTAAGATATACAGTGTCTCAAAAATATTTAACTATTCAAAATTAGTGTTTTGAATTATTACTGTTTTTGATCATTCAAACAACTGATCAACTCAAATTATGGTTTCTGATTATTACTTTTTTTATTATTCCAATTATCCAGGTGATTAGGATATTACTATTATATATGTGCACTGATAATCACAAAGCCACAAAATGGGTTATGTGTACTCTGCCCTATTTAATCCTTATAAGTTGTTTTTTTTTACTTCATGTTTGTTCAGCTGTGGTAAATTAGGAAGGGACAAAGCTTCTAAGGATATCTGCCACTGTCACTAATTTTGAACTGGGACTAGAGGGAAGGCAAATGACTGACAGCACCTGCTACCAACTTTTCTTTTTTTTCTTCCCTTCTTGAACTGCGGAATAGAGAGACGGCAACTGTCTGGTAGCACCTGCCACAAAATTTTTTTTTTCCAATCTTCTCATCTCCAGTCCATTTTCTAATGAAATTGAACCAAGTGAGCCTTTCCCTGCTTCTCACTCTTCTTCCTTGAACTTTACCTATCAGAATATCTAATATCTTTCAACACTTCCTTGTTAATTTTCCTTTCTATGTTGCCAATCTTCATCGTTCATTTGTAACACTACATTTTAAATGCTTCCAACAGTCATTTTGTTTCAGAAGATAGGGTCCATGTTTTCACCCTACAGAGTAGGACTGACCATATGTAACATTTTAACAGTCATTTCTTTAAATGTAGTTTAAAATCTATCCTAAGCAATTCTTTCAAATCGAAGAAAGCTGTTTTTACTATTTTCACCTTTTGTTTTATCTTTTTCACCATTGTTATTTATCACTAAATAAGTAAACTCTTCTACTTGTCCCAACTCTTTACCCTCTACTTTGATCCATATTTTGGAAGTTTCCTTGGATCATGAGATTACCATTTTTCTTTTTCTTTTTTTGTAAACAGTATTCTAAATATTTTGACTGGAAAAAAATCCATATAAAATAGTAACACACATACTACTCATATTTCATTAAAAAAATAACTGTTTAAACATAGACAAAGTAATGGTTAGTATGGAAACCAGTACAACACCCAAACATATGCAACCATGAACAGCAACAGTAGACTACTTACAAAAGGCAATCTTTAGTTTCAGTTTATGAATGTGTCATCTAACACATATCTAATAAAAATAAATTACTGGAAGAGATTAAACGACAGCCTAGGCCTAGTCTGAACCAAATTTCAGAGTGATCTAGAAATGAAGTATGGAAATTAATTCTTTATTTTATTATGCATATAAATACAAATTTTAAAGTTTACATTTTCTGCTAATCCTGATGTAGATGATATTTCTTGGAAGTGAGTAGTGGTGTTCTTTTTCTGAGCAAGCAAAGCCTGATCTTCAAACCTTTCCTGCTGTAGCTCATTTAGAAGGCAAGACCTGGAATGCATAAAATATTTCAACAAGAAAGTTTGATTCTGTTAGAATGATGATTATAATAAAAATTCAAATTCCTACTCCACATATTAAAATATTTATTTTTTATTCAAGCACATTAAGTTAAAAAAAGTATTGATTTCAGTGTTTATTCAAAAGGTAAGTTGAAAATAAAATACATATATATAGCAATAAATCAAGTCCAAAAAACAAGAATAGGTTAATGGGACTTTAACCAGTAAAGCTGTCTGATGCAGAAACTCAAAAGGAAAGGGTAGAGGAAAAGCAAGTTAAGAAGGTGAGTAAGCAAAAGATGAAGATAAGCAGACTGAGGATCAAAGAGAGTCAAAATAGGAGAAACAAAATATCCCCTTGCTGGGGGAAAAAAAAAAAAGAGATTCAATGGATAAGAGCACTAGAAAAGAGGAACAGTTGTTACATCAACAGGACAAAGAGAAGTAGTCTTAAGTTTACGGAGGACATGCAACCAAGAGTTAACAGCAAAAACAGACAAAAAGAATATGTAATAATGCAACTATCAGGTGAGAGAGGAAGATATGAATGGTTTTGTGACGTCTTTTACTCATACAATAATCCCATAGTTATATAGAATTTTTGAAAATATGCAGCATTGATGCTACTAACTTATTCTTGAGAATTATTAAAATTGTTTAAAATAATATAAATTATATGTCCAATCTACCATGTGATTTACCTACCACTTGTCACTGATAAGGAGGAATTCCACTCCTTATCAGCAACACTTTACAAGGGTAAATTGAATAATAGATTGGGCTTTACATTTCTATAATACAAAATTTCCATATTCCCAAATTCTGAGGGAATTTACATTTCTGCGAAAAAACATGCAAGTCAAGTTTTCTGAAACCAGTAGAAATCTTGGTTCCCAATCTTGAAGAGCTGCTTGCAGTGTAGTATAAAATCATTTGTCAATACTTAACATATATATTTCTTAAACTAATTTTTTAACATTAAATAATTAATTTACTTTGAAAATGAAATCTGTATTCATTTAATTATCTTACAATAATATAAATTATATAAATATTACTACCATCTTAGTATTTCATAGCTAGGTTCCTAGATCAAACGATATTACATATCTCAAATAGTGCCAATTTTTACTCATTTTTATACCTTTTTCTATGGATAATTTTCATGTACATATTTCATATGATTCACGATCATGGCCACAGAGTTTTCTTGGGTCTAAGTGCTGGTTTAAGTTCATTAGCATGCTTTTACATGACATGTTTCTTAAAGTAATGTAAAGCATATAATAAATTATAATAAAGAATACAAATTTTCAATAATTCATTATTTTGATAATTTAAGTTAATAAGCAAGTTTCGTTTGACTTGATTAATTAAATTTAACCAGGATTCCATAAACCTTCCAAACAATTTTTTAAACATAACTAGAAACAATATTTATTGTATTTTAACTCTGAATTTTATATTTCAACAAGTGCACTTCACATCAATCAAAGAGTTTTTCAACTATTTTGAAAGTAAAATATGATGCTATAAAAAAAAACCTTTTCAAGTAGGTAATCATTTTGAACAAGCCCATACATTCTATGTGGCTTATGAATAATAATAATTTCAGGATTTTAGAATGGATATATTGGATTCAGAACAAATACCGTCAAAAATGAAAACACAGAAATAAGCATTTGAACCAGAGAACTTTAGAAAATCTTAGTAACCTAACCAAGATTAACTACAAATAACATAACAAAAATGTGCATTTTAATATTACTTATACTTTGTACAAGTAAAAGTGTTTATGCACTTTTACACTGAACTACTCTATGCATCAATTTTGGAGAAAATTTGTTAAATATGCATAACTGAGAGTAACATGCATAATGATTACAATTTATAGCATTTGACTATATCTAAAAAAAGGTGTTTCTAGAAATAAAAATAATTCTAGTGTATAAGATAATATATCAAAAACTCATGCTGTCTACAATATGACTATCCAAAACTAAATCTAAACTTTTATTGAATGCTTATCTAGCACATACTTCAACAATATGATTTGAGATTCTAGAAGCATATACACATTTTTTTCAAATGTTGGAAGAAGGTATTTTTAATTTTTTTCTTTAGCAGTGAAAAATATTCTTAAATGATGTACAAAGTTTAAATACCAGATATTACAGATTTTTAAGAGGTATTTTTGTTACCCTAGCACATGAGCTAAAACTGTCACATTTATGCCTTTAATTGGGACAAAGAGCTTTCATCATTCAGTTTATCCTCCTTAAAGTATTGTCCATCATCACTACCTCAACAAATGAGCACAACCCAACAACACCAGTTGTCACACAAGCACAAGTTCAGACACAGTAATCATATCTTCAGTATTACATCTCCTACTCTACTATGACTCATACTTTCCTTCCTACATGTACACCCCCCTCCTCCTCCTACAAATGACCCACATACTTGTTCAATGTGGCTTTTCAAAAGTAATCTCCCTTTCACTGTAACTGTGTAGGTGTACACAAGAAAGCAAAAAGAAGTAAATATCTTACAGAAAAAAAAAACTTTAAAAGAGTGAAATCTGGCTGTTAGCTATTTTACATAAACATTAGAATTAACATATTTTAGAAACAGTTGATCAGTAGTGATTCCCTAAATGTAAAATATAAAAAGTTACATAAAACAGATGTTGCCCTCATACTCCAGTTTTAAGTATAAAGTTGAAAAGAAATAACACAAGCCATTATGAATATACTAAAAATAATTCCATTCATACCAACACTTTTACAATGTTTTAGGTCCCAAGTTCTAATTAATAGATGGTAAAATTAACAAAAAGAAACAAATCAGTGAAAACAATTTAAAGATCAGTTTCTACAGTGTTTAAAAAGTATAATTCATATACTAAATCTCCAATACCTTGCAAATTGAAAATAAATAAAACTAAACTTTAACTCTATGTGCATGGATAGGGGATTAAAGTGTGCATGCCAGAACAAATTACAGAGTGTCATTCAACATGGTATCATGTATTCGATGTTAGAATTATCAACTATTAAATTTTACCCTGCACTGCTGATGTAAATGCAGCTCATGATAGGGGAAAGTATATATCACATACAGTATACATGGATACTGAAAAAATTATAGATATGCATACTGTACAATAAACAAAAGTATTCTTCACATGAATAACATCTAGCACTCTGAGTTGTCAAAGTCCAAGTCAAACAATTCACAAACATACCTTGAGTACAAATACTTTTGTAACACATCTTATATTCCATGTACAGCAGAGTTGTATATTCTAGTAAAAGCTTACTATATTTTATGTATATATATATATATATACACATAGCAAATTCAGTATTATAGTCAACATTCGTTCTCCAATATTGGGTTGGTCCATTGGGCCCACCCCATACATATTCAGTTAAACAAAATTATTCTCTCTCTTTTAGTCAACAGTTTTTACATCTGTACTATATCCAATTGTAAAATTTCCAAATTAAATATCATTGAAAAAACTTTTTAATTGCATTTTTGATTAAATAAGTATATCCTAGTTATAAAATTACATTTAAAAAAATCCAGTGCTCAAACATAATTATGTAGTAATTTCTGTTAGAAAAGATGCTGAAATTCTACAATAACATAGTCTTGTTTACAGGTGACATACAAACTACAAAAAGTTTCTGTGACAACTCAGACTTAGGTCATCAGTTGGGTACCTTGCTTTTAGCAATTTTTATGGCCCTTAACAAATGTGATTAGTCAAATATACTCTTCAGACCCATAAATATACCATAACATTGTCTTACACCATTTGCTAATATCGTGTTTACACTCTTTCGTCTTTTATTTTCATACAAATTCATAAACTTTTAAAAATAAATAGAACAATTTTATTTCAACATTGTTTTTTGCAATTCCTACTACTCTCCTCACATTATTAGTTCAATGTTGAAAATATATTTTGATTCTTTGACATGTCATTTTCTTTTTAAATTTCACTAAATTACAATGGTCAAGTTCTTGTTTCTTAACCTGAAATTACAAATTTGTTTTTATACTTTTTACTACAGGTGAGGTCTACATATTCCATCATATTGATTAATTTTTTTAACACTGACACCAAAATTGGTGAATTAAGTAATTTTTTATGTAAAATACATAGCGGACCACAACAGTAATTAGCAGAATTGCAATATTGATAATATTGTTTCAATTTTTTGTGACTCAAGTTATTAGGAACCCTGTAATCAACAAATTCATAGACCCACATACAATTTGGTGTACAAATTGTTTAGAAAAATGTATCTTTATTATTTTATAACTGTCTATACAAAATAATATAATACCATCTTTTAGTAATGTGTATAATATTTCTTCCCCTCCATAAAAAAAGGGTGGTATCTGACATAATACTGAGACTCTAAATTCTATCAAAAATCAACATTCCCTCAGATATTTTTATAATGAAGACTGTCAGGTGGAAATCAGAGTATTATTTTCACTAAAAACTATTACTCTATGAAGCATGAGATTTCACATTAACATCTTTTCAGACTTATAATTCAATGTTACACTAGGCAAGGATCACCATATGGAAGCATTGCAATCTTTCTACTGCTGAAAACTAAGTAAGGTACCTTCTGTATGTGGTTTCTAAGTGATTTTCTAGATAATTTCTAATTTCAATATTACTTTTACATTTATACTAGGAGAATACATTGGATAGAATAAAAAGTGTGATGGTTATGGCCATACTTTTAATTCCTCATCAGTGAAATAATATTGTGAAAGACTAATACTGGATGAATATTATAAAATACAAGACACCTGCCTATAACCAATTTCATAATTAATTTATAATCAACCTGTATTCCTCATTTGCAACAAATTTATACTTCTCATTCTAATACATTTAACATTTTAAAAAAAAGAAGCTCAATAAGACCCCTACTGTCATCAAACTGACATACTGCATGAAAGATTTAACACTTATTTTATACAAAATTATATTTATGTAAAAGCACTGATAGCAATCATTTGATATAAAGGGAAACCCTACACTCCTTTTCATTAAAAGTTAAAGTATCAATTATAGATTATATCTTGCGGTTTGGAAACTCTTAAGCTCATATTAGGTAACAAACTATAAACTACAATCAATTGAGAGCCACTGGAAGAGTATAAAGGTGAAATCTAAAAACTATTCACAGTTGTTTATTAAGAGCTGGCTTATTTTTACTGAAACCATTACATTTCTTAGATTCACAAGAGCTTGATGAGGATCCCTAAAGCTACCTTATGAGCACAACTAATTTTAAACAATAAATTATTCTGTATAAACAAAGAATGAGTAATATTCTTTTCCTTACAAAGTAAGCTATCAAACACCTGTCACCAAAGTCTATTTCATGAAAAAAAAAAGCATATTAAATGTTTTGCATACTGTATATATATATATATATATATATAAAATTACTATACAGAAAATAGCACAAGTAACTCATTTCACGAACTCTCAAATTATGAAATAAACATTTAAAACTCTGTAAAGAGAATAAAAAGCAAATATTCTTATGATAATGCACAAACATGCAGTATTATAACAATAAGCCTGATTATGCATCATACATTTTCAAAAGGTAAATGTTATGAAACTTAAAGATTGTAACAGCAATTCTCACCTTTTTTGTTCTAGCTGATAGAGAAGAAAAATCAAATGAGACTGGTCCTCGCTAATAGTGTGCCCACCAGATGGTACTGGTGGTGTAGAGCACCGAGCCACCAAAGAGAAAGATGAATTAAGAATACACTGTTCTGCTTCAGCAGTAGCAGCACAGCATTCACGGCCAGTTTCTACATCTAAGTGGTCTGGAACAGTTCAAAGATGCCTTTTTACATGAGATCTTTCTCTGTATTTATAATAGTTTCAAGTCATATATAATAACTCTCTCTCTTTCAATTCATATACATACAGGTTTATTTTGAAGCTTCGCAACTGAATTATAAAAGAAGTTAAAAGTAATAATAGCTAAAATACATATAATATTTTACATAAAATATATTTACCAATACAATAACACTAAAAGAAAAACTTTTTTATACCTAAAAAGAGCAATGTTTTCTTTAAGTATTTAGTTATATTATTATTATTTTTTATTGAAAAGAGTTTGAAGAATACATATTAAGAGAAATAGAGGTAACACATTGTAACCTTATCTACAAACACTATGACACTGATACATGTCTGTAAACTCTTAATAACTGAAGACTACAAGTTTAATAATGAATTCTTTAAAAATATATATGCATTCCCTTTTTCAATGTCTTAAGAATTAGAGCACAATAGTATTAATATGATCAATGTTATAGAAATTTATGAAATGAAATGATTTGTAAAATATAAATTGGGCTTTTATCCACTAAAAGGACTTATATTTCTAAAACAGTGAATTAAACTTTTGCACTTAAGTACAAAAGATTTTTTCACTTGCTTCAAATATTTATATATACTTATTAAAAACTCCCAATAGATTGTATTCTTCAGAGCAGTTGCATCTGTATTATTCCAGAAATGTGAAATATTGAGACAAATCAATTTTAAACATTTCAATAAAAACTTTCCCAACAGATTCTTGAATGCAATATTTTGTAATCTGCTCAGGGAATAGAGTTGGATTACAGCTTATTCAGCTGTTATTTTCAATGAGTACAAACATATGAAAACTTGTGCTACGTTCTCAAATTACAAGGTATGGTTCATTAGTTCAAGTTAGGTTAGTAAAACACCAAAAATTATGTAAGTTTATCATTTTATTTTCACAGATTTGACAATAAGACAAGTTTATACAGTAATGCATACTCAGATGGGATGACTCAATGATGAACTTAGTATATATGACAAGAAGGTTTCAGCCTGTGAACCTTTGACCAATTCTATTTTTCTCAAAATTAAACACCCTAGCTTACCATGTGCAGAAAATATAATAAAAAAATACTGAATTCTTCCAATTCCAAAATAATGGCGTTTTTTACAAGCTTAGTGAGTATTGTCATAATTTAAAATTAATGTGCAGAAAATATATTTTATTATTTGGAAACATAATATGAATTATTTTTTGTGACTGTTTAATAATGACTAATGTACTAAGAGCTCTCTTCGTCTTTACATATGATAAAGTTGCAACTTAAGAGCTAGGTTCTGTAAGCAAGAGTGTTTATCTTAGTTAGCTAAGTGATTTCAAACATGTCTTTTCATAAGCTGATTTACAAATTCTGAAAATCAGTACTCACAAAATTATATTTTTCTACTTAAAACAATTTCACACACTGAACCACAATAACAGGTGAAAACGTTTACAGACCCTTGGTGGCGGCCAACCCAGTGTCTTTCTTCAACAAAATGCTGTACGTTATCACGTGATTGTATCGATCTCAAACATTACCACCGTTAATGCAGCATTTGCTCCCAACTCGACGAGTGCGATATCCAAACGGTGGAAAACTGTGCGTCATTGGTATTTCTAAGTTCTGTTATATAGTGACCAATTGAAGCCGTGCAACACGTTACAGTCAGTCAGTATATATATATTGATAAACGGATGAAGCAAAAATCAATAAAATGATACAGGAATATAAATATGGCCAACTGTTCAAACGAGTGTGTTTGACAATCTGTACAAAAATAAAAAAATACTAGACGCTTGGGTAGCAGATCAATAATTGGGTGGGTTTATAACGTACTGGAGCCATGTTGTACAACGGTAAACCTAAGTTTCGAATCAAAGAGAGGACAGTAAACAAGCTGTTGAAGAAAATCAATACACGAAACATGTTACTGTGTTTCCAAGTGCAAATAATGTACATTTCCTCAAATTTACGTTATAAGAATAATTTCAAAAAGCAAACGGATGTTATGCCGACCCATAATGCTAAAGACGTATATTTGACAAAAATAGTTTGATATTCACGTCTGCATAAACACAAAATCTACAGAATATATATGATAACCTACGCGCTCGAACGCGACAGAAACACTCTGGGACATTCATCTGAAATGACATAAAAAATCACTTAACTAAACCAGAAAAATGCCCCCCAAAATAATTCATACACTGAACAGTTTGTTGAAGTAAAAAAAAAAAGTCATTACATTACTTTACGTCTTATTATAAAAGCTTCATCCCTATACATTGTATTGTGATGAAACTTACCAATATCACAAAACTATCTAATAACTACACAACTGTTCGTAGGAATATACAGTCTTCCCGTTAAAAAGGTGCCGCTCACACATTCAAAGACTGGTTTTAAAAACACCTTTTAGATATTTTAAGTATAAAAAACACAAAAATATTATAACACTGTGGTAGCGATATAAAATATTATTTTAAGAATTATGCATTTTAATTTTGAGTAAACGACAGAAAGCAAGTTTAAATATCACGAAATCGTAAGGCCCATGTCTACTACTACCAAATCGCTGCTTACTTTAACTAGATGGATTAGTTAATGCCAATCCATGATCACGACTGGACAACAAAAAGGAGCAAAAATTATCAGCCGACACTTAATATTGGGTAATGTAATGGGTGAATACAGTTCGTCTCTGACTGCCCGAGGGGCAACCCCCTTGAACACCTCTCATGGACATACAAAGCATCATTCTCACCGGTTCAAAAATATTATACAGTGTATGTAACGGATCACCCTACCCAAATTAAAGACGCACGCACCGCGTTTGGATTTAGTTCAATTTTGCCATATCCTCTGTGTCATATTCATTATACCTAATACAAAATGTTACGGAATTTTGGAATAGAAAGTATACATATATATTTTTCATTTTCATTAGATTATACAGATAAGCAAATACGTAGCCCTTAGATTATAATCATACAATGATGGTATACATGAAAGGCTTTAGTCAGGGGTAAACATTCTTCTAAAAATCTTCCCGTACCCTCAATCAAGGCTATTAAATTTCTTCCCTAACTTTTCACGGTACCATAGTGGCCATGGCTTTAGCGACATGACCCAATAGTCATTTATAGTTTTTTTTTTCTATTTTTCTTTTCTTCGCGCACCATAGTGGCATGGCTTTAGCGACATGACCCAATAGTCATTTATAGTTTTTTTTTTTTTCGATTTTTGTTTTCTTCGCGATTTTGGTCGTTTTTTTCTGTTTTTCATGAAATCATTCACATACCTTCTGGAAGAATATTTACCCTTGGCTTAAGTGTGTCTCTAAAATGCCATGCAAATGTGGTATTTTCAGGTACAGCAGAGTTCCTGACAAGTATCAGATAGGCAAGTTCACAAATAACAGCAGTGTTCTGTAATCAATAACTTGACTGAGTTCCTTTAAGTGTAAAATAACCAATCTGGACAAATGTGATTAAACAAAACAAAATCTTAGTTATAACAAATAAATGGAAAACACAGTGTACTACCTATGCAGGTGAAAGGACAGTCCATTCTACTAGGCTATGTTAGCTCCACAGCTTTCTCTCACTCAAGGTTAATCTCAATAGAACTAAAAAACGTTGTTCTCAAAAGAACTCTTCATTTGACAATTTCTTAGTATAAACTGGCTAATGAAAATGCACTTGAATTCAACACATAAACTCAATTTTTTGGGGCAATCAACACTGTGACCTTAGTTCCTTACAGCATTGGTCAGCAGTAACATTACATTTAGTCAATTTCATACCAGCAAAGAATATTAGCACCAATTATTTTAACCCTGATGCTATATATTGCTGCAATACCCTCTTCAGTGGAAGAGACATCACCTACTATAGAGAACAAAGAAACTAGAACAAGGTAATTCTAATGACCTTCTAGATCACTCACCGAAACTAAACAACCAAAAAATACTTAATTTCCTAAATCACTAGAGTAAGTTGAAAACACGATATTCCCCTTCTTTCTTTCAGGCTTGTCTCAAGCCAAGAATTAAATTTAACTTTAAAACCAATCTTTAAAATAGTGACATGGTCAAAAAAGCACATCAAACCTTATTCATAAAAAAATAAGTCACATGAAAGACACAAACCCTTTAAGAAAGAACTGTCCTAAACATAAGATCTTTTAACATGGATTTATAATTCACAAATGTTACCAAAACTTTATTTCAAAGTAGAAAAAATAAGTAAAGTTAAAATACAATGTTCCAGCTATACATAATTTCAAACTACAATTTAAAGAAGCTCTTTAACCAAGATCTGTAAGCAAACTCAAGAAACATAACAGTCAAAAGCCAACTTTCAAAAGTAAATTCTTTACTTTTAAGTATTAAATAAACAAATATAGTATAGATAAAAATCGAAAGTCAACTTCAAAAGTAAATTCTTTACTGTTAAATATTAAATGAAAAATACAGTATAATTCAGAATAAACTTGTACTTCACAAAAAAAATTTAACTTTAAGTTTCAATACAAAATAACATTACACAACATAAAATATCCTTTAACAAAGAAAAAAGCAATGTAAAGGTATACAGATTCACCCAATCTAAATCTAAAATAAAATAAAAAGAAATACACAAAATGCAAAGATACAATGTACACTTTAAGAGCAGTCAGACCAACACAAGAACATTAATCACAAAACTAAAATAAAACAAAAGGAAATCAGAATACAAAGAAAAACTTTTTGACAAAGAATATATTATTTAAATATTCACATCAATAGTGATTAAAGTTGATACTGTGCTGCTCTCTTACATGGCAAACAAAGATAAATACAATATATTGCAAAATCAAATCTATTACAAATCAAAAAATCTATTATACACCAAAAATTCAAACATACTATGAAAAACAAAACAAAAAAACACTCCAATTAAACCCACAATACATAAAATGAA